CTATCTATCTATCTATCTATCTATCTATCTATCTATCTATCTATCTATCTATCTATCTATCTATCTATCTATCTATCTATCTATCTATCTATCTATCTATCAACCCATCTATCTATAAACCTATCTACATATCTATCTAACTATCTATCTCGCTCACCCTGTGTGCATGCGTGTGCGCGTGGGTGTGTGTGGGTGTAGGTGCATGGGCGGATGTGCATGCTGTTGTACGTGTATATGTGCGTCTACGCGGGTGTGTGTGAGCGTGTGTGTGTGTGTGCGCGCGTGCGTGCGTGCGTGCGTGGGTGGGCGTGTGTATGTATGAGCGTGCGTGTGCGCGTGCGTGCCTGCGTTAGTGAGTCCGTGAGTGCTTGCGCGTGTGCGTGCATGCGCGTGCGGGTGTGTGGGCGTGTGTGAATGCGAGTGGAGTGCGTAGCTGCCTTTGTGTCTGTCACCCGTCTCTCTCGCTGTGCGTGCGTGGGTGTGCGTTATGTCTCTCTCTGTGTCTGCATGTGTTCGTATTGTGTGCATTATTTCATCGTTGTTGTGCATCAGTGTATATCAGGAGTGAATAATCTCGAATCTCTCATTTCTCTTTGAGATTATTAACTCCTGGTTGACATCGATTTCCTTAAATATCGAACAATTTCAGTCTCATTTTACAGATGACAATTACTATACAACTTAATAAATAGGACAAATACCTTGCATGTAAGGTGACCTCTGCATATACCAGCCAGTACATAATATGGCTGCGTTAGTGTGTTGACGCATGCGCAATATCTTGCCAGAGAAGTTATATTTCGTGATGAATATGCATTTAAAATGGTTAGGGGGTATCTCAGCATAGATTTTTGTAATTAGTTGTTATCAGTTAGCCTGTGTTTATAATTAGAAGAGCGCCTTAGCCTGTAGGATGCAAAACTGCTACTTCACCCCCTCCCGTATTTACCATTGTCTGCCCTGTCCCTTGCTCAGCCTTATTCCTCTTTTACCGCTCCTCAGCTATCTTTCCTGCCGCTTTTCCTCAGTCTCTTACCCCTTTCTCCCACAGCAAGCTATATTATGCAGTTTTCTTTAGTCGGTACTACACGCCTAAAACAGTGCTCGCGCATGCGTAATATCTCTCGAGAAGAATAATATTTTGCAATGATTATGCATTTAAAATGAAGAGGAGTCATCCTAGCATGGATTTATATGATAACATTCTATCAGTAGACATCTCTTCATAAATAGGATGAAGACCTTGCATGTAAGGTGACCACTGCATATACCAGCCAGTACATAATATGGCTGCGTTAGTGTGTTGACGCATGCGCAATATCTTGCCAGAGGAGTTATTGGTGACCACTGCATATACCAGCCAGTACATAATATGGCTGCGTTAGTGTGTTGACGCATGCGCAATATCTTGCCAGAGGAGTTATATTTTGTGATGAATCTGCATTTAAAGTGGTTAGGGGGTATCTCAGCATAGATTTCTGTAATTAATTGTTATCAGTAAACCTGAGTTTATAATTAGGAGAGCGCCCTAGCCTGTAGGGTACAAAACATCTACTTTATGTCCTCGCGTCCTTGCTCTTGCCTCCCCTGTTTCTCGCTCTGCCTCATTCTTCTTCTACCGCACCAGCTATCTTCTCTGCCCCTTTCCTTTGTCTCCTATCCCCTGTTCCTTCAGCATGCTATATTATGATGTTTCCTTTATACGGTACTGCACGCCTGACACGGTGCGCGCGCATGCGCAATATCCTCTGAGAAAAATAATATTTTGCATTGATTATGCATTTAAAATAAAGAGGAGTTATCCTAGCATAGATTTATATGATAACATTTTACCAGTAAGCATCACTTAAGAAATAGGAGGAAGACCTTGCATGTAAGGTCCCGATCTGTATACCAGCCAGCACAATCTGTCTACGTTAGTGTGTCAGCGCATGCGCAATATCTCACCAGATGAGTCATATTTTGTGATGAATATGCATTTAATATCGTTAGGGGGTATCTCAGCATAGATTTCCCTTATACATTTTTACCAGTAGACCTCTATTTATAATATGGAGAGCCCGAGTAAAAAAGCTGGACACACGGCTGCATCGATGTAGGACACATGCCGCCATCTGTTGGCTAATATAAATGTTATTGGTGTTACGCCAACCAGGGCACTCAGCCGCGCAACCAGGACACTCTGCCATCGTTAAATAGAGGCACCAGTATTAATATTTCACTTCAGGCTTGCGCGAAGAATATTTATTTTATAATTTCAACAAAATATTTTTGTATTTGGCATATATTGGGCTTTCCCTAACGCATATCCCTCGATATGCTACATGGAGATTTGACAGGACTAGGCACCAAATAACCATTAAAGTAACTGGTGGGTATGCGCTCTCTGAATTCAAATGGTACCTTAAAATACCACCATTTCATTCGTTTAAAAGGCTGAGCATACAGCTTCCTATGGTATTGTAGAACACGTATCGCCATCTATTGGCCGATTTAAATTTCAGCAGGGTTACGCTGCGAGGTCGCTCTACGACTACTAAACAGAAACGTTGGGATTAATATTTTTATGTGAAGCTAGTGCTAGGAATATTTACTCTCTATTTTAAACGTATAATTTCTACAATATATTATTTTACTTGGCACGTACACATACACGCCATTTACCCTGCAAATCACTCCCGGGTATGCTCGTGCCTATATTATATATATATATATATATATCCTTCTCTCGCTCTCTTTCTCTCTCTCTCGCTCCCTCACCTTTCTTTCTCTGTCCTCTAACGACCTTACTACGTAACCTGTCCTCTGACGCTGAGCTGCTTGTCTCTCTGCTGTATCCTCTGAATTGAACTTTTGTTCGCTCCCCTGCTGTCTGATTTGTCCTCCTCCGCCACTGTTCGGTGTTACATCCCATGTTGGTTAATCGATTCCTTAGTGAATGACCAGAGTTTGGCTATAGCTGAGATAGGTACGCGCCCTCGCGTGTGTACGCATTAAGTATTTAGCGTTAACACGTACCTGGGGTACACTGCACAATGTTGTCTCGTTGCCGTCTGAGAACCGACTCGCCTGCTGCCCACCTGCTGCGCGCGCGCGTGTGTGTAAAGAGAGAAAGAAGAGAGAGAGAGAGAGAGAGAGAGAGAGAGAG